CCCCAAACATCCCGAAGTCCTCAACTTCAAACCCTAAACCCTAAAACCTAACCCTAAACCCTAAACCCTAAACCCTTGAACCTAAACCCAAGTCCTTTCATAACCCGTGCGGCCGAAGCACACACTTCATTGCACTGGATGGAGGCCACAGGCATCCTCAGACATGTAGAGTTGAGGAGCCGCAGCTTGCACGAGGTCCCGGAAAGCGGTTTAGGGTTTTAGGGTTTTAGGGTTTAGGGTTTAGGGTTTAGGGTTTAGGGTTTGGGGTTTAGGGTTTAGGGTTTAGGGTTTAGGGTTTAGGGTTTAGGGTTTAGGGTTTAGGGTTTAGGGTTTAGTTTTAGGGTTTAGGGTTTAGGGTTTAGGGTTTAGGGTTTAGGGTTTAGGGTTTAGGGTTTAGGGTTTAGGGTTTAGGGCAAGAGGAAGTCAACACATGGAAGTGAAGAAGCCGGGCGACGACATGAAGATGCCCATGGCTTGCAGCCACCTGGGCCGAAACCACACACGCTACGGGAGCTCGGGGAGATCTAAGGGTTTAGGGTTAAGGGTTTAGGGTTTAGGGTTTAGGGTTTAGGGCTTGGGGTTTAGGGAGCTGACCTCATCCAACTAGTTACTGCTCCCTGCAGGGTTTAGGGTTTAGGGTTTAGGTTTTGGGTTTAGGGGTTTAGGGGTTTAGGAATTGGGGCTTAGAGTTATTTAGGGTTTAGGGCCTCGGTCCAGCATCTCGCCATCTTGCAAGCGAAGGCGCTGGGAAGCCTTGGAACAGGCGTCGATGGCCGAGGAGAAGCCGAACTCGTTGCTCTCCACGGTGAGGTCCTTGCAGTTTTGGGGAGAAGATCAGGGCCACCACAGGGCTCCTTAAAGTAAAAGAAGGGTTTAGGGTTTAGGGTTTAGGGTTTAGGGTTTGGGGCTCAGGGTTCAGGGTTTAGGGTTTAGGGTTCAGGGTTCAGGGTGCTACTGGTAGTACAGAATCCCCAACCACCTTCGACCTCCCGACTTCCTACCCTTGGCCTAAACCCTAAACCCTAAACCCTAAACCCTAAACCCTAAACCCTAAACCCTAAACCCTAAACCCTAAACCCTAACCCTAAACCCTAAACCCTAAACCCTAAACCCTAAACCCCAAACCCTAAACCCTAAAACCCTAAACCCTAAACCCCAAACCCTAAACCCCGTCAAGTTTGCCACCTCCATTTGCTCCAGCAGCTTTATGGCCACCTTTGCCAGGCAAAAGCTGGGCTCGTGATGTTCAGCCGGTTTGGGGGTTTGGGGTTTGGGGTTTAGGGTTTAGGGTTTAGGGTTTGGGGTTTAGGGTTTAGGGCTTAGGGTTTAGGGTTTAGGGCTTAGGGCTTAGGGCTTATTCTGGGCACCCCCGATGCCCCCCAACGCCTGCCAGCGATGCACGCCCCCAGCAGCACGGATGGTGCAGCTCACGGCCACCTTAGCTTCCTTCAGCAGATCTCTCTATGTACGAGCGCTTGGGGTTTAAGGTTTAGGGTTTAGGGTTTAGGGTTTAGAGTTTAGGGTTTAGGGTTTAGGGTTTAGGGTTTAGGGTTTAGGGTGTAGGGTGTAGGGTGTAGGGTGTAGGGATTTAAGTTATGTAAGTGCATATGCCATATGTACAGCGTGCTTGCAGTTCCAAAGACTGGTCTTGGACGCTGATTTTGGAGAAAATCAAAGTGTTCCCCTTATTTTCTGCATACTTTCCATCTCAAAACCGAGGCCTTGCTAGCTTCGACACTGGAAATCTCAGATTGTACACAAACCCTGAACCCTAGACGCGAAGACCCGTAAAACCCCTCCACCCCCTATCCACCCCCTAAACCCTCTAATCGCCCCTAAACCCCCGTAAAACCCCTACACCCCCATAAGCGCCCCCTACTCCCCCCTAAACACCCTAAACCCACCAAACCCCCCAAACCCCCTAAACCCCCTAAGCCGCCTAAACCGGCATAAACCCCCCCAAAACCCCATTTAACCCCTGCTTGACGCAGGCATCCATTAAGCCTTCGGAGTCAAGTGGCCTCGCTCAGGACCACCCCGGGTGACCTTAGGCACGAAGGCATTGGGAAACTCCCCACACTCCCCTTCATTTTCTACCGTTTCGAGTTTAGGGTTTAGGATTTAGGGTTTAGGGCTTAGGGTTTAGGGTTTAGGGTTTAGGGTTTAGGGTTTAGGGTTTAGGGTTTAGGGTTTAGGGTTTAGGGTTTAGGGTTTAGGGTTTAGGGTTTAGGGTTTAGGGTTTAGGGTTTAGGTTTTAGGGTTTAGGGTTTAGGGTTTAGGGTTTAGGGTTTAGGGTTTAGGGTTTAGGTTAGGGTTTAGGGTTTAGGGTTTAGGGTTTAGGGTTTAGGGTTTAGGGTTTAGGGTTTAGGGTTTAGGGTTTAGGGTTTAGGGTTTAGGGTTTAGGGTTTAGGGTTTAGGGTTTATAGAAGGGAAGCTCGCTGGTGCTAAAAGCACCCGGGCCGCTCGCTTGCGTTAGCATGTAGTCCCACCCCAACCACCCAAACTATTCTCATTTAGGGTTTAGGGTTCACCCCCCAAACCCCCCTCAAGGGGGGCTTTCTTGCTTTTTGCAGAGAAAGAGCAGGGCGGGGTCTCCCGAGCTTCATGGAGCCTGTCAGTGGCTCGTAGGCTTCTTGGAGCTTTCACGGAGTAAAATGGAAGGTGCCCAAAACCGTCAATTGCAATACCAAAAACCCACATTTTCGGGCCTGAAAGGGCAGCAAAAACGGTCGGGGGTAGCAGGGGCCTCGGCCGGCCCCTGCTTTTCGATGTTAAAACAGAACATTGCAGGCGAGTCCCAAGCAGGGAGGGGTCCCAGAAGAATTCGGGAGGTTGCTACAAGGGTCGCAGGAAGGTCCCAGCAGGTTGGGGGGTCTCAGGACGGTTTGGCTTCTGGACGGGTCGCAGTGGGGCCACAAAAAACCAGAAATGCAGCAATTTTGGGGACATTTTCAGGGTGGTTTTTCAAGGTTTTTCAGAATTTTTCAGTGTTTTTATTGCTTCTCAGTGTTTTTCAGGGTGTTTCAGGGTTTGTAACCCTCGATTCTGAGGAAGGGCCGCCCCCGCGACCTTTTCACAGCCTAGTTTTGGTCAAGGGGGGGTGGTATTTTTCAATTTTAAAGGCAAAATAGTCTTCTGAGACCCCCCTTGCCTCAAACTCCGACCCCTCTTGAGAGGGAAAGTTTGCCTCCAAAAACACCCTGGATTTTTGACCAAAACCGAGCCTTCACCGGTTTCGGGATTTCAAGTTCTTCAAGGTTTTTGAGAATTTTTCAGTGTTTTTTAAGGTTTTTCAATGTTTTTCAGGATATTTCAGAGTTTGTAACCCTCAATTCTGATGAAGGGCCGCCCCCGCGACCTTTTCACAGCCTAGTTTTGGTCAAGGGGGGGTCGTATTTTTCAATTTTAAAGCAAAATAGTCTTCTGAGACCCCCCCTTGCCTCAAACTCCGACCCCTCTAGAGGGAAAGTTTGCCTCCAAAAACACCCCAAATGAGGGGGGCCCCAGGATCGGCCCGGGCCCCAGTTAAAAATGCGATTTTTTAGTACTGAAATCGACGGGTCTGGGTGGTCTCTCGTTTTCTGGATTTTTGACCAAAACCGAGCCGTCACCGGCTGTCCCAAAGGGTCCTAGGAAGGTCCCAGAGGGGCCCCACCGGCAGGGGGTCTTAGTCTTAGCCCAGCATTCTTAGGGTGCGGGGTCCCAGAAAAGTCCCAGCGTCCCAGGAGGGTCCCAGGGGGGTCCCAGGGGGGTCCCAGGGCAGTCCCAGGGGGGTCCCAGGGGGGTCCCAGGGAGGTCTCAGGGGAAAAAGGTTTGAAAAGCCCCAAAAAAGTGACTGTAAACGAAGTCACGGCAGGAGCCCCCCTGGACCGGCCCAGAGGGGGGGGGGGCCCGGAATCTGCCAGCTCAGGGCCCCGGAATTGCCCGGGGGGTACCCCCCGGACCCCCCCAAAAACACTAAAAGACGCCAATGGTGCGAGGTTTGGGTCCTAATTATATTAGGGCTGACGCCCTAGGTCTGAGGCGTGGCCAGTCACTGCCGTCTCGTCTACCGGGAGGCTTTACCCTCCCTCACCGTTCTGTGGAGACGCTCGGTCGGGGACCTCGGTCGAAGCCTCGAGCGCCCATGCATATGGACAGCGGCGCTCTCGGCAGTTTAGGGTTTAGGGTTTAGGGTTTAGGGTTTAGGGTTTAGGGTTTAGGGTTTAGGGTTTAGGGTTTAGGGTTTAGGGTTTAGGGTTTAGGGTTCCAAGCCCCAAGGGGGTGTCGGGCTGAGGGTCCACCCCCATGAGAAAGGTCCATATGAACTCTGAGGGCAGTGCTGGATCAGGCTCAAGGCCTCAGGGCATCATCAAAATTAGGGCTTAGGTTTAGGGTTTAGGGTTTAGGGTTTAGGGTTTAGGGTTTAGGGTTTAGGGTTTAGGGCTTAGGGCTTAGGGCTTAGAGTTTAGGGTTTAGGGTTTAGGGCTTAGGGTTTAGGGTTTAGGGTTTACGGGGCACGGACCCTAAACCCCGAAGCCCTTCTCAAGATGAGAGGCATTGGGGAGCAATGGTTGCAACATGTATCAACGCTCTGATCGATGGTCCCTTCTTACCGATTGAAGAGGGACAGGATACTTTGTATAAGACATAACACGACCAACATACATATCTATATATATATACACATAGAAATATATATGTTATACAATACAATATACATATACATATATATATATATGTATACAGATAGAGACTGAGAATGTGGTTTGGCACCCTGCCTCAGCCCACCGCAGCGCAGCGCCCAGCGCGCGGCAGCAGGCGCCACCTCCGTTATTGACTAGTGCACGTGAGGGTTCCGAAACAAGGGTACCGTTTTGGGGGGTCCCTTTACGGGGATTCTATTCTATTTGGGCTATATAAGGGGGTACCCCCATTTTTGGAAGTACCCACATTGGAAGAAGGTGCATGACTACTACCCTTGCGATCATGATGAGGAGTGATTGTTGCTTCTCATCCGTAGGGTTTGGGGCGTTTTGGGTTCAGGATGACATCAGCCAAGCCGCATGTAAAGCCATCCCCAACTTCAGGGACCAGCCTGAGAGCGATCTCTGAGTCCCTTGTTGAGGTTATTCTTCGGACCGTGCTTATGATTCTTATGACTCCCATCGTTTGCGAGTCTTCTTACTCTTACTACTACCCTAGCCCTAAACCCTAAACCTGTTTGAACAATCATCATCATTAACCGTCATGAGCCCTCGGAACCCATAAACCCTTAACCTAAATACTGTACATCCTCAACCCCGAAACCTAAACCCCTCAAACCCGAACCCTCTAAATCCTCAAAACGCAACCCTCAACCCTCAGTCGTCAGACCCTCAGCCCTTGATCAGCCCTCAACCCTAAACCCTAAACTCCTCAACTCTCAACCCTCAACCCCAAACCCGAATCCCTCAACCCTCAATCCTCAACCCTCAAGCCTCATTCTTCGACCTTAAACCCTAAACCCTAAACCCGAAACCCGAAACCCTAAACCCTAAACCCTAAACCCTAAACCCTAAACCCTAAACCCTAAACCCTAAACCCAACCACCTCCTCGGTTCTCTTTCCAGGCAGCACCAGGGCCGAGCGCCACGCGGCCGCGGCTGCGCACGCGCCGATGGCCGCGCGGCGGCTCTGCGAGTCCTACGCTGTGCTGAAGGTTTAGTGTTTAGGGATTAGGGTTTAGGGTTTAGGGCTTAGGGTTTAGGGTTTAGGCTTTAGGGTTTAGGGTTTAGGGTGAGGGTTTAGGGTTTAGGGTTTAGGGTTTAGGGTTTAGGGTTTAGGGTTTAGGGTTTAGGGTTTAGGGTTTAGGGTTTAGGTTTAGGGTGAGGGTTTAGGGTTTAGGGTTTAGGGTTTAGGGTTTAGGGTTTAGGGTTTAAGGTTTAGGGTTTAGGGTTTAGGGTTTAGGGTTTAGGGTTTAGGGTTTAGGGTTTAGGGTTTAGGGTTTGAGGTTTAGGGTTTAGGGTTTAGGGTTTACGGTTTTTGGGTTTTAGGGTTTTCGGGTTTTAGGGTTTTAGGGTTTTTGGGCTTTAGGGTTTTTGGGTTTTTGGGTTTTAGGGTTTTCGGGTTTTAGGGTTTTAGGGTTTTTGGGCTTTAGGGTTTTTGGGTTTTTGGGTTTTTGGGTTTTAGGGGTTTAGGGTTCAGGGTCTCCAGGCTCAGGGTTCAGGGTTTCGGGGTTTAGTTCATTACTATTCCACTTTATTGGGGTTTTGAGGGTTAGAGATTTGTTGGGGGTGTTTCGGGCCTTGAGCGCCTTGATGGGGAGCGCTGTGAACCCCTCCAACACCAAACGCCACCCCGAAACAGCCGCAAGTTCGGCAGAACGTCGGCACAACAAAAGCCCCTCGGCCCCCTAAAGGCTGCCCATCCACACACGCTGGACAGAGCCGCTTAAGGGGGTTTGGGGTTTAGGGTTTAGGGCTTCTGGTGCAGAGTTTAGGGGAGTTGGGTGGCTGTCCGGCTCGAGCGAGGCCTCTGTCATTTGCCTGAGTTGCCCATGACATCCTACCTCCCCTAATGTCAGCTTAGGGTTTAGGGTTTAGGGTTTAGAGTTTAGGGTTTAGGGTTTAGGGTTTAGGGTTTAGGGTTTAGGGTTTAGGGTTTAGGGTTTAGGGTTCAGGGTTTAGGGCTTAGGGTTTAGGGTCTAGGGTGTCATCAAGCAAGCTTTCTACTATGGGCTCATGCCAGCAGGCAGCGCCACGCGGTGATTGATATTGATTGCAACATATCCTAAGCAAAGGATCAGGATGAAGATGCTGCTGGTCAACCACAGGCCGACAGAGTCTGAGACAAAACGAGTCAGTAAACCCTAAACCCTAAACCCGGTACGATTGATCAAACTGATCATTGCCCTCCAAGCCAAAATATCTCTGAAACTTAGTGGTTCAATAGAGAACCTGGAAATTGGGTTTCCCAGATAATCCCTTGAAGGGGGTGTGTAAGGTACTTCATGCACTACTTCCCGAGTATGTAGACCCAGACTGCTGGGAGGGACCCAAAAACTAGAACACCCAAATAGTACCCTATACTTTCTGATGAACCCCCGAGGAGATCCTTCGGGGGATCTGCTTCTTGGATCCTTTTTGGATCCTCCCAGGGGTCTGGCTAAGAAGAAGGCAAGCCCTCGATTGCAATTGCTACCCAGACACTCGAGGAGTTGCAACGAGGCAAGCCAAGCCCCGGCAGCCTGGACATTCTAGCGTTTAGAGTTTAGGGTTTAGGGTTTAGGGTGAAGGGTTTAGGGTTTAGGGTTTAAGGTTTAGGGTTTAGGGCTTAGGGCTTAGGGTGTAGGGCTTAGGGTGTAGGGTGTAGGGGGTAGAGTTTAGGGTTTAGGGTTTAGGGTTTAGGGTTTAGGGTTAGGGTTCAGGGTTTAGGGTTTGGGGAGGGATTAGGGTTTTTCTTTAAACTGGACTCGCTGGGGTTACTCTAGGGTTTTGGGGTTACGACCCTAGATGGTGGGGCATGTGGGGTTTGTGTTGACAGCGGCTCTGGGTAGTTTGGGGGAGTGCGAATTGGGGGTTTTACGAAAAAAAGGTACCCCTTAGTCCCCAAATAGTAGGCTTCCCTTACAATAAGGACCCCGAGAACGTATCCTCTTTTCGGAAACCCCCAATCACACCCTGATCTTCCGATAGTAACATTCAGTCGCCCGCATGGGAGCACCGAACTCTAGAAAGTGGGCCCTCGGCTGCCTCACAGGCTGCCAATACCACGTTGAAGCTGATGGTGTCCTCTCGCGCGACTCTTCGACTCCCCCTCGCACACAAGCGGCTCCAATGAATCCTCAAGACCCCAAAACCCAGCCTCTGAACTGTTCTTGCACAGGGTTCCTTTCAGGACTAAGTTGTCTGATCTCGCAACCCTCCACCCCGAGCATCCCGCAATCAGCCGTCCGCGTCGTCGGCCAGCTCGGCAAGCAGCACCAGTGCCTGCCAAACCCCACCGTCCCATCCCCATCATGCAATACAATAGAACAGGGTTTAGGGTTCAGGGCTCAGGGCTTAGGGTTTCGGGTTTGGGGTTTAGGGTTTAGGGTTAGGGTTCAGGGTTGTGTATGCTTCCGATACCATGCGTTCGAGGCTCTCTGCATCGCCAAGGAACATGTTGTGTTATATTGTATTACGATGGATTCTACTAGACTATCATGTTATTCTACTATTAGTTGGGATCAAGCTCCCGCTCAGCGTTTCTGAACCCAGGCTTGGTTTTGGGCCTCCATCCACCCATCTGCACCCACACATGCGGTCAGGGCGGAGTTGTAGCCTGAGTCAGGTGGAGAGCAAGTCATACCGCGGCTCTTACGAAGAAGCCCGCGGCCCGAACCAAAGCAAGCTTCTTACAAGCATGCCAAATGCCGTATACCATGCTGCAGCAGAAGCCACACCCAGATTTTCAGGAGCCTACAATGACCGATGAACACAGGAAGAGAAAAGGCTGGCAGAAGTTACTTCAGGCTGGCTGCTGACGGCGTCGGGAGCTGGGATACGCCGCAGGAGCGTCAGGGCCACCTTTTTTACAGAATCGCATGTTTGGGGTCTAGGGTTTAGTGTCTAGGGTTTACTTAGGGTTCTGGGTTAGGATCATGGGACTTCTATTTCCTGACCGCACGTAGCAGCGACATCAAGCTTTGTGGCCTAAACCCTAAACTCTGAACCCCAAACCCTAAACCCTAAACCCTAAACCCTAAACCCTAAACCCTAAACCCTAAACCCCACCTGGCGCTTCGAGGCCTTCGCGCAGGAGTTCAGTGCCACGTTGAAGGCCCGCCTGCAGATTTGCCGCGACAAGCTGGCTGGTTCTTGGTAGGGAATGAGGAATGAAGTACAACCCCAAACCCTAAACCCTAAACCCTAAAACCTGTAAAATCACTTGAAGGGTATATATGGTTGCGCCCTAATTCCCTCATTCCCTACGAAGAGCTGGCTGGTTCTCAGGGGATGAGGGAGTGATGCGCCCTAGACAATCCCTTAAAGGGCATACATAGCGTAACTAGGGCCCTATATATCCCTTACAGGGTATGTATAGCGCCCTCATTTCTGCATTAAGAACCAAGGGGAAAAGAGACCGCAAAAACTCTTGACCTCTACACTCGCCACCTCGTGCGGCCCTGACTTTTGGGTTTAGGGTTTAGGGTTAAGGGGTTTAGGGGTTTAGGGGTTTGGGGGTTTAGGGGTTTAGGGGTTTAGGTTTAGGGTTTAGGGGTTTAGGGGTTTAGGGGTTTAGGGGTTTAGGGGTTTAGGGGTTTAGGGGTTTAGGGGTTTAGGGGTTTAGGGGTTTAGCGGTTTAGGGGTTTAGGGGTTTAAGGGTTTAGGGGTTTAGGGGTTTAGGGGTTTAGGGGTTTAGGGGTATAGGGGTATAAGGAGCCAATCCACGGATATTTACAGCTTGGCCAGCCGCCTGTCAGGATTGGGCAGCCGACTGAGCAAGGCCAGGGACCACTGCCACTCGTCTGAGCACGCACGCATGGCCGCCGTGTAGCCTCAAAGTTGCAGAAGAAGGATTATGTAGGGCACCTCTTTTTGCCCTTTAAGGGACTGTGTAGGGTACCTCATTCCCTCATTCCCCACTACAGCCCGAGGAAAGAGACACCGATTCAGCAGAGTCTTAGAGGCAAGCACTCGACTCTGTTAATTGGGCCGTGATCCTATGCCAAGCGCTCCGAGGCACATATGTCGTTGGTCATCCCGAGTTCGTCTGCTGTGAACAGCAGGGAAAGCGCCTTCCAGGCGCAAATCATGTCAGGCAAGAAAACCAGAGAGCCTCACCCCGAAAGAAAGCAGCATGCGTGACCCTGTCACCAACCTACTTCCAGGCCGACGCCAAACACCCAAACATGCCTTCGAACTACCAAGCTTCTGTCGGCCCCCACCCGGGTGTCAAGAGCAGCTCAGATCACAACACCGGAAAAAGAAACGCCCTTGCCTTCTGCCAGCAGCTGGAGCCCTCGAATGCACTGAGAGCTTGCGTGTAGCCTCAAACGGGTTTCGGGTTTAGGGGTTTAGGGGTTTAGGGGTTTAGGGTTTAGGGTTTAGGTTTTAGGGTTTAGGGTTTAGGGTTTAGGGTTTGGGGTTTAGGGTTTGGGGTTTAGGGTTTAGGGACATGACAGGTATGTCATGGCACGCTGCTTTCCTCGAAGGCCGAAACGAAAAGGTCAGTGAACGTTCGGCAACGCATACCGTACGCAACGCATTGCCAAAGATTGAAGGGATCAAGGACACTTTGATCCTGTACCTGCCTCGAAAGGTTGCGGCGCGTCGGTACCCATAGTGTGACCACCGTCGTTGCGCAACCCCCAATCCCCATTCCCTTCGCTACAACGTTGCATGTGAGCTTTGGTTCAGCTTTCTTGCCAGTTGTGCCAGTCGACTACCCCAGCAATGCCCAGAGTACCAGAACCCATGCTTTAAATTACGCCGTGTGAGAAGGCAATCGATTTGTCTCTGTGTGCGCGCAATAAGTGTTTCGACTTACTTCCCATGTCAACGGGCGCAACTGGGTCGAACATACCAACAGCACACCGCATGACACTGCAACGGCACGTTGCAGCTACATCCTAAACCTGACACCCCAAACCCTAAACCCTACAAACCCTGCACCCAAGAACGCCAAGAAAACCCCAAGTTGTCTGAGCTGCTTTTGACATCCGGCTGCATCTCCTGCATTTTGAGCTGGTCCAGCAGGGACAGGGCCACCTGTGGTGACAGGAACAAAAGCCCAGATCTCCAACCCGAAACCCTAAAACCCTCAACCCTCAACCTAACCAAGAGCTGGTAGAATAAGGGGGGCAGGAGACCTGCCACTCTCTTCGGCCGGCGGCAGCTGCGATGGCGGCCCCCATGCCTGCCTGGTGCAAGCTGTTTCGGGATATGAGGAGACCGACAGGGGCAAGAGTTGGGATGTCCCCCCTTCTTATACTAACAGTCCATAAGAGGGGACGCCTAAGCCTCGAAAGGATTTGGGATTTCGGGCTCAGGGTAGTTCCCCACGTGCAGCATCAAGCCCTATGTAAGCAAACGACAAGGGGCCTGGGACTTGGGGTTAAAGGGCTCAGGACTTAGGGCTTTTGGCTTGCGGCTCCTCACCAACATCAGAGCCATAAACTCTCAAACGCTAAACTGCCCTAAATCCTGAACCCGACCACCACTTCGCCCCAAGAAGCCCCCCCCCCCCCCAAGTCCTAAACCCTAAACCCTAAACCCCAAACCCTAAACCCTAAACCTGCCCCAAATAAAGGGAGCCTGCGAGGCCATGCGACGGTCGAGGGAGGTGGCAAGCAACGTCTGGGCGGGCACAAAAGGGGGTCTATCTGCATTGGTACATGTACATATACACGTACATACGAGGAAAAACAAAATGTGTACACATATATATATATATATATATATATTTATTTATTTATTTATGTATTTAGTTATTTATATATATATATATATATGTATATATGTATATATGTATATATGTATATATGTATATATGTATATATGTATATATGTATATATGTATATATGTATATATGTATATATGATATAGACACATGAACAGAGCAGTTGGCCACAGGCATGATGGCTTCACTTCCAGGAACTTCTTCACCCATGTGAAACCTGCCCAAGTCACCACCGCCAGGGCCCAGCGAAGGCTTCGACCGCAGGCTGCAGTAGCTGACGCGTAGGCGACGGCATCGGGGAGGAGGGCTTCGCCTCAAGATCTGAAGGCTTGCGTGTTGCTCTTGTCTCAACTGGCTGCCTTTTGATGGCTTGGGCTGTGAGCCATCGCGGGGGGATACTGTGAGCCAACATACCCCCGGGGGGGCGAAGAGCCTCCTTGCGGTAGGCCGGGCTTCTAGAGCCATGTTGTGATTTCAAGTGCTTGGGCCCTACTTGGGCTGTCACAAGCCTGCCTGGAAGAGCCTCCAAAAGCCACAGCGCGTGCTCCCAGGCGAAAGCCTGGGAAAGAGCACGCCGAAGGCATCCGAAGGCGAAAGGACAAGGCAAGCACGTTCTGAGCGTTATGGCCCAACCCTGAACCCCGAAAACCTAAGGCCCTGAACCCTAAACCCTAAAAGCCCTAAAGCCCCAAAACCCTTGAAGTAGGGAATGAGGTAATGAGGGCCCTAGACATTAAAATACAAATGTATATATATATATATATATATATATATACATATCTACCCTTTAACGGATTACAAAGGGCCCGAGAATTCCCTCATTCCCTACTAAGAACCAGCCCCAAATAAAAGGCACCGCACCCTAAACCCTAAACCCTAAACCCTAAACCCTAGACCCCCTAGACCCCCTAAACCCCCTAAACCCCCTAAACCCCCTAAACCCCCTAAACCCCCTAAACCCCCTAAACCCCCTAACCCCTCCTTAACCCCTAAACCCCCTTTGTCTTTCTAAACCCCTACTGACTAAACCCCCTCGACCGCTAACACCCCCTAAACCCCCTAAAACCCCCTAAACCCACTAAAACCCCTAACCCCCTTAAACCCCCTAACCCCCTAACCCCCTAAACCCCTCACCCCATCTCTCTAAAAACCCCCCTAAACCACCAAACCCACTAAAACACCCTAAACCCCCTAAAACTCCTCTAAACCCAGTAAAACCCCTAAAACCCCCTAAACCCCTAAGACCCCTAAAAAACATAACACCTAAACCCTAAACCCCTAAACCCCCTAAAAAAACCCTAAACCCCTAACCCCTAATAACCACTAAACCATAAACCCCATAAACACGCTAAACCCCCTAAACCCCAAACCCCTAACCCCCTCAAAACCCCCTAAACCCTCCCTAAATCCCTAAACCCCTAAACCCCTAACACCCCCCTCTCAAACCCTAAACCCCTAAACCCCCTTAAACCCCTAAACCCCCTAAACCCCCTAAACCCCTAAACCCCCTAACCCCCCTAAACCCCCTAAACCCCCTAAACCCCCTAAACCCCCTAAACCCCCTAAACCCCCTAAACCCCCTAAACCCCCTAAACCCCCTAAACCCCCTAAACCCCCTAAACCCCCTAAACCCCCTAAACCCCCTAAACCCCCTAAACCCTAAACCCTAAATCCTAAACCCTAAACCCACCTCGGCGCAGGAGCCCAGCAGTGCGCCAGCGTGGAAGGCGTTGGGCTGCAGCCGAAGCGCACTCAGCTCCTCGGTTTAGGGTTTAGGGTTTAGGGTTTAGGGTTTAGGGTTTGGGGTTTGGGGCTTAGGGTTTAGGGTTGAGGGGTTGCTTTTGGGGCTGTTTAGGGGTTTAGGGGGTTTTGGGAGGGGTTTAGGCGTAGTAGAGTTTGGGATGTTATTGGGCGTTTGGGGTTTAGGAGGTTTAGGGGTTTGGTGCTCCGACAACATGTTGATTCATGCATTGCAAATACATTGCATAACATTCGTTACCCAGCTATGGATGCACGTTGCATGAAAACACTGCAAGGCATGCACGTCTGCGTGGGTGTATGTATCTATGCACAATATGCCGTATGCCTGTATGTTTGTGAGTATGCATGTGTATGCGTATGTTCATGCATGTCTGTATGCATGTCTATATGCATCTGCATATGTATGTTTGTCGGTCTGTACGTACTCATCTCTGTCTCGCTCATCTGCAACTCGGGCGAATTGGCAACAGCAAAGCCTCATCCTAAGCAATCTGTATACCACCCTTAACCCTAAACTTTAAACCCTAAACCCCAAAGTTTCTCCGAGCTGCCCGAAGCTTCGCCAAGCCAACCTGACAACGGCTGCAGGGAAGGCCAGTCACTCACATACTCTACTAACCTAGGATTAAAAGGGGTGCTCCTTGAGGCGCCGTACAAGAATAGGGACCCCAAAGGGGACCAAAATTTTGACAACCACCCAAATAATGGAATAAGGCTACGACTGGGCACCTTTGTCTAGAAGACGGCTTTGTGCTGCGGGCTTTTGGGAGAACTTGGAGTTCCTACATGTCACGGTGCTTTCGAGCCGAGGGCACCGAGACTTCCGGACCTTGGGGGCCTCACCGAAAACCCTAAACCCAAAACCCTAAACCTAAACCCTAAACGCCAAACCCCAAACACCAAACCCCAAACACCAATTAAACCCCAAACCCCAAACCCCAAATCCCCAACCCCAAACCCTAAATCCTAAACCCCAAACACCACCCCAAACACCACCCCAAACACCACCCGAAAAACCACCCCAAACACCACCCCAAACACCCCAAACACCCTAAACCCTCAACCCCAAACCCTCAACCCTAAGGCCCCAAACACCCCAAACCCCAAAACCCCCAAACCCTAAACCCTCAACCCCTAAACCCTAACCCCTAAACCCTCAAACCCTAAACCCTCAACCCTAAACCCCAACCCCCTAACCCTAAACCCCAAACCCTAAACCCCGAGCCCCTAAACCCCAAACCCTAAACCCCGAGCCCCTCCTCCGGAGCAGTGCGCCGCAGCTGCCGCGCCGCGGCCCGGGCGTCGGGGACGCCGGGAGGCCACCCTTGCGCCGCCTTGCGGAGGAAGATGAGGTTTAGGGTTGAGGGTTGAGGGTTTAGGGTTTAGGGTTTAGGGTTTAGGGTTTAGGGCTTAGGGTTTAGGGTTTTCTGAGCTTAGAGCGGGTGCAGGGTTCGGATTTTGGGTTTCGGGGAGCAAGGGAGCCAGTGAGCAAGGATGAGCAAAGGCTCCCTAACCACAATCATCATCTATAATTATATTATATTATATTATATTATATTATATTATATTATATTATAGTATGGTATATTATATTATATTATAGTATATTATACTATATTATGTTATGTTATATTATACTATATTATATTTATACTGGATTATCTCATATTATATACATTATACATAATATATATATATATGTATATATATATAATAATAATAAAAATAATAATAATAATAATAATAATAATAATAATAATAATAATAGCAGCCACACCTCATCCTCATCCTCATCATCATCATCATCGTCATCATCATCCTCACCATCATCAGCACAACAACCCCAAACCCTAAACCCTAAACCCTAAACATCGCACTGCCAGGGCCTGGCCTCCATTGAAAGTGGAGCTCATGTCCACGAGCGGGCGTCGGTCAAGCCCATCGGAATCACGGGACGGTTTCGGGTTTTAGGGTTTAGGGTTTAGGGTTAGGGGGTTAGGGTTTTGGGTTTCGGGTTTTGGGTTTTGGGTTTAGGGGACGCCGCAGCCCCTTTTCCCCCCCTTGGGCGGCGCCGGTCCTACTGGGGTCCTGACCCAGGTCTCCGACGTGGAAATGGGAACATAGGGACACAGTTTAGGGTTCAGGGTTTAGGGTTCAGGGTTTAGGGGTTTCAGGGTTTCAGGGTTTCAGGGTTTCAGGGTTTCAGGGTTTCAGGGTTTCAGGGTTTCAGGGTTTCAGGGTTTCAGGGTTTGAGGGTTTCAGGGTTTAAGGGTTTGAGGGTTTGAGGGTTTGAGGGTCTTGGGCTTCGGGTTTTGGAGCAAACTTCAGGGCAGCATCCTGTGTTGGGAGATGCCCGAATGCTGACCGAGGGGTTCCACACACGCATTTAGGTGTCTCGGGTCTGGAGGATGCGACCAGAGGCTTCTTGGAATGGGTGACCCTAGCCCCTTAGTTGCCGAGTACCCGGTTAACCTTTCAATTCTGGTTGGATTGACATGTACCCCAAAAGGGTACAGGGTCCCTCAGCTACGAAGAAACCGCAACCGGAGCTCTGAACCCTGAGCCCTAAGCCCTAAACCCTAAACCCTAAACTCGGCTTTAGGGGAGGGGGGTCTCCTGACCACGAGCCAACGTTGGCAGCGAAAGCCAGGCGTGCTCTGCACAAAGCATTGGTAACTTTCAGCCACGTCAGACTCGAGACATAACCCTAAACCCTAAACCCTAAACCCTGAACCCTAAACCCGAAACCCTAAACCCTAAGCCCTACATGGGGCAGCTCGCGAAATTGTGGCCCCCCTTGTTGGGGTTTGGGGTTTCGGGTTGAGTCTAGAGTTCAGGGTTTAGGGTGTAGGGTCCCTTTTTGGGGGGTGCCCCCCTAAGTATGCGGGCTCTGCGTAAATCACCCTAAGCCCTAAACCCTAAACCCTAAACCCTAAACCCTAAAACCCCGAAGCGACTTCAGGGAAGTGAAGGTCACACGCTGCCCGAAACCAGACAAGTGAACGGGATCCGGACAGGGGCCCACCAGTGCGCAAGGACCTGATGGCAGGCTAGGGGTCTGTTTAGAGTTTAGGGTTTAGGGTTTAGGGTTTAGGGTTTAGGGTTTAGGGTTTAGGGTAGGGCTTTTACTGCAAGGGTTCAGGGGCTTTTTGGGGTGCTATCGGGAGGTAGCTGCGGGTGTCTGGAAGGGTTTAGGGTTCAGGGTTGCACTTTGCAACACAACGGCTCACTCACCCTCTCTCACTCTCTCACTCTCTTACTCTCCCACTCTCTCACTCCCTCACTCTCTGACACTCCCACTCTCCCACTCTCCCACTCTCCCACTCTCCCACTCTCTCACTCTCTCACTCACTCACTCACTCACTCACTCACTCTCTCTCTCTCTCTCTCTCACTCACTCACTCACTCACTCACTCTCTCACTCTCTCTCCCTCTCTCTCTCTCTCTCTATCGCGTACTTGCTTGCTCGTTCCCTGGCTCGCTCGCTGGCTTGCTTTCCTGCTTGCCCGCTTGCTGCGCTCTCATATACCCCTGCTCTCCTTCTCTCCCTCACTCTTTCTCTCTTTCTCCGTGTCTCTCTTTCTCTCTTTCTCTCCTGCTCTCCTTCTCTCTTTCTCTCTTTTTATCCTTATCTCTTTCTCTCTTTCTGTCTGTCTCATCTCTTTCTCTCGTTCTCTCTTTCTCTCTCGCTCTCCCTCTCTCCCTCTCTCTCCCTCTCTCTCCCTCTCTCTCCCTCTCTCTCTCTCTCTCTCTCTCTCTCTCTCCCGCTCTCTCTCTCTCTCTCTCTCTCTCTCTCTCTCTCTCTCTCTCTCTCTCTCTCTCTCTCTCTCTCTCTCTCTCTCTCTCTCTCTCTCCACACGCTTAGCCCCCCCCGAAGGAGCAGCTGCCCCGAGGGGCGCGCCAGTCCCAAGTGTCATGCGGTCTGAGCTGCGCTTTTCGCAGCCGGGCCAGGTTGGGGTTTCTGTCTGAAAGTGGGGTGTAAGCAGGGTCCAGCCTTGGATACAGCGAACCAGTACAGCACTAGTTTGGGCAGACGGTCCCCCCTCTGTGCTCCTGGCAAATGCTTTACATGTCTTTTTGGCCCTCTTTTGGGGACAGTTAGTCACTGCTTGCCCCTTCATGTGTGCGTCTTCTTCTTGAGTCCACATCATCCCCTTCGTGTAGCCGGCGGTGTCGTCGATGTAGTCCCCACCCCCTTGGTCTTGTCTCTTGTTCCTCCTCCGACTGCGACGGCGATGTGAACTCCTCCGTGGGTGCTCTCCGGTACGTGTGGGTGGGTGAGTGCTGTGGTGGTGGAGGTGTGTAAGTGTGTGGTGGGTGTAGGTGGTGCGCAGTGCCCCCTCGCCCTCTGGACCGATCGTCAACGTGTTGTGTTCGGCTCTCAAGTGGCGGTGGTTCCCACGGGACGGTCTCCTGCGTGCCCCCCCCCCCGCCGCTGCCTGCTTGGTCGGCTCCCGTCCCCGTCGCTGTTGCCCTTGCTGCTGCCGCTGTTGCTGCTGCATCCGCTGCTTCGGTGCTGTTGTTTGCGTGCTGGTGGGGCGGCTGACAGTTGGGTTCCGCTTCCTGCTGTCCCTGGGGTGGGATCGTTTCGCATGTGCTCGGAGAGGCCCCGAGTGTGGGTTTGCTGGGGTTCAGCATGGCCCCCTGGTTGCCCTCCTCCGTCTCCTCTTCCTCTTGTGCGGATCTGCGGGTTGCGCCCCCCCCTTCCCCTCCTCCGTCCGTCTGTGTTTCCAGGAACGGGACCAGTTTGGCCAATATTTCCCTGGCCGTGGTGACCCCCGTGCTGTTGGGCCTGTGGCTGGGTCTGTTGTTGTGACTTTCCGTCCCTCCTTTCGCCAGGCCTATGACGTCCGCTAGGTGTGTGTCCCTGGCTCCTGCTGCTGCTGCTTCTTGGGGGTGCTGTGTTGGGGTTTGCGCTGAGTCGCCGCCCTCTGGTTCCAGCCACTGTGCTGCCACCACCACTTCGTGGGCCTCTATGGCCTGGTGGATATGGGTGAGGATCTCCCGTATGGTTGTTTGCAGGTGGTGCTGCTGCTGTCTATCCTCTTCCCGCCCCCCCCTTTCACAGGCTGTGTTCAGCTCGTGCAGTAGCTGTTGTGTGAGCTCCAGGCCGACTTGCCCCGCTGTTTCCCCTCCCCCCCACACCTCTCGTGATAAGTGATAAGTTCCTGAATCGTGGCGAGGTGTTGCGCTATGTGCTGGGCCGGTGCGCCGGGGTCCTGCTCAAGGAGGTGTTGTGCTTGCCTTGCTGCCTCGTCGAGTTCGAGGGTTCTTTTGTGCTGTCTGCCTGGTGCTCCCTCCTTGTGTCGGTGGCTCGGTCCGCGGCTCTGCTGTGCTAGGGTGGGTGGTGGATGCTGCGGCGGGGTCTGTTGGTGGCGCGTCTGTGGCGGGTGCTCTCCGCTTCCCAGGTTGTCCCCTGCTGCTTGGAGTATTGTTCTGCAGGCGTGTAAGTGGGCTGCTGTGTACCTCTTCCAACCAGAGCATTGCCTTTGCCAACACCTGAAGCCTTCTTGTGCTCCGTAGTCCTTCCCAGAGGGGTCTCCTTGGCGTCATCGTCCTCCACCTGGATCTCGTCCCAGTTCATTCCCCCTTTCTTGGTGAAGGGCTTCACGCCGGACCTCGTGGCCTTCTTCAGGTGCTCAGCGATCGTGTCCGGGTCGGCCAAGTCGTTCTCATAGTAGACCTCGAAAGTTCCCCCCTCGGCCTCGGAGAGCTGGCTCACAGTCAGGCCTTCGATCTTGTCCAGGGAGAGGGTCCTGCCGGTGGTGACTGGCACCAGGATCTCCAACCCCTCCGGAATCATGACATTGTTGTCGCACGCAATCTTGACACTGGTGTTGGACAGGAGGTAGTATGTCATGATGGACTTCATAGAGCCCAACTCGTCTGAAACAGACGACGTGTAGCCTTCGTTGTCAGGGGTGGTGATGAGCATGTACTCCAAGAGCTGTGGGAGGCTCACCAAGTTCTCGTCGCCCTCATAGTGCAGCCACATGGTGCCCATGTTCCGGAGGATGTTCTTGGCGGAGAGGCGGGCCGACCAGGACGTCTCATCCGTCATGGCCCCCTCCTTCTTCACGAACTCCACTATCACTGAGATCAGGGAGTCCCATCCGACCGGGGAGATCTCGCCGACAGACGTGTTGACACCGACAAGCGGATACTCATCTTTGGATGATGTATGCAGATAGTCGAGGACTATCGTAGCATCCAATTTTCCAAGCGAACCCGCCGCAGCCCCGGGTTTGTTGACTATCAGAAGCCAGAAAGCTGATTGCAGGAGATTTGCAACCTCCTGGAGGTCCGTCGTCCAGTTAATTTGAACTGAACTGCGCATGGACAACAATTCAAAAGCCAAAGCTAGCACGGACACCGTGTTGTTGCCACTTTCACGAGAAGCTTTCTTGACCAGACTCGCCAAATGCACCCTGAGTCCTAGGGTCGGTGCAACAGATGCAAGTTGACTCGCAGGAAAATGCGAACCTGCTTTCGCCCTTCGATCCAGAGCACTGTTCGTCAGGCGGGTGCGCAAGAACTTGTCGATCGCCTGGATTGTCGGACGGTCCAAGGTGACTTTCGTCTTCACTATCTCCCATGTTTTGATCACCCTGCGCATGTTGGCCGATGCTAACCCCACGTAGTTGAGGACTGTCAAGCTCGTCACCAAGGCCTGATTGGAGTAGATGCCCTCCTCCGTTAAGATCTCCGACATCATACCGACAAGTAGGACCCTATAGCTATGGCTATCGAGCCCAGCCGCGTCCCTGATATCATAGCCTTCGACATCGGCGAGGAAGTCAAAAGCACATTTCGTCAGCGAGCTGGCCGTCGTCATATCGATCTGCGCGGGGTCGTCCACGGCAGATCGCCCTCCATGGCTGTCGGGAAGAAAAGAGGCAAGGAAGAGGCCTCGAGCCTGAAGATCTTGAGCCAAAATGGCTACTCCCTCTCTCTCCCTCTCTCTCCCTCTCTCTCCCTCTCTCTCCCTCTCTCTCCCTCTCTCTCCCTCTCTCTCCCTCTCTCTCCCTGTCTCTCCCTCTCTCTCCCTCTCTCTCCCTCTCCCTCTCTCGCTCCCCCTCTCTCCCTCTCTCTCGCGCTCTCTCTCCTCTCTGATCCCTCCTCTCTATCCTCTCTCTCCTCCTCTCTCTTTCGTTCTCTCTTTCTCTCTTTCTCTCTTTCTCTCTTTCTCTCTTTCTCTCTTTCTCTCTTTCTCTCTCTCTTTCTCTCTTTCTCTCTTGCTCTCTTTCTCTCTTTCTCTCTTTCTCTCTTTCTCTCTTTCTCTCTTTCTCTCTTTCTCTCTTTCTCTCTTTCTCTCTTTCTCTCTTTCTCTCTTTCTCTCTTTCTCTTTCTCTCTTTCTCTCTTTCTCTCTTTCTCTCTTTCTCTCTTTCTCTCTTTCTCTCTTTCTCTCTTTCTCTCTTTCTCTCTTTCTCTCTTTCTCTCTTTCTCTCTTTCTCTCTTGCTCTCTTTCTCTCTTTCTCTCTTTCTCTCTTTCTCTCTTTCTCTCTTTCTCTCTTTCTCTCTTTCTCTCTTTCTCTCTTTCTCTCTTTCTCTTTCTCTCTTTCTCTCTTTCTCTCTTTCTCTCTTTCTCTCTTTCTCTCTTTCTCTCTTTCTCTCTTTCTCTCTTTCTCTCTTTCTCTCTTTCTCTCTTTCTCTCTTTCTCTCTTTCTCTCTTTCTCTCTTTCTCTCTTTCTCTCTTTCTCTCTTTCTCTCTTTCTCTCTTTCTCTGTTTCTCTGTTTCTCTGTTTCCCTCTTCCTCTCTTTCACTCTTTCTTTCTTTGTAATCTTTATTGCTTTCTCTCTTTCTCTCTGCTCTCGCTCTCTCTCCGCCTCTCTCTCCCCGGGTAGCCTTTCTGGCTATCCATCTATCTTCTGTCCCTCCCTCCGCTCCTCCCTCCCTCCCGCTCTCTGCCAACATGCTCCAGCCCTCCTGAATTTCCTCCGGACGTTTAGGGGATTTAGGGTTTAGGGTTTAGGGCTTAGGGTTTAGGGTTTAGGGTTTAGGGTTTTAGGGTTTGGGGTTTAGGGTTTCCTCACTTCAAGCAGTTGCCCTTGGTCCCCTTAGGCTGCGGCTGCGTTCAAAATCTTCACAGACTCACGCTTAGAAACCTGGCGGCGACCCGAGCTCAAGGCTCAACTATGGTCTAGGGCTTAGGGTTTAGGGTCTAGGGTTTAGGGTTTAGGGTTTAGCGTTTAGGGTTTGGGGTTTGGGGTTTGGGGTTTAGGGTAGCGGGAGCTCTGAACAAGGGTCCCTTTTGCGGTGCCGATGAGAGTAGGGCCTTCTTGGAAGGATTCTCGGAAAAAACGGCCCAAAGTTCGGATCTCAAGCCCCATGCTGTCAGAAGGCTTGAGTCATGCCGTGGCTTTGCAAGTCGACACCAGGCAGGCTGTGAATTCTGAAGCCAGCATGGGGACGGAGCTTTTCAGTGGGAACGGACTCTTTCCAGAAGAATCAGGAAGCAAAGTCAAGCCAAGTTAAAGTACCAACCCAGGAGTTCGAGTTCCCTTCACTGGAGGTGTTAAAGCAACGCTACCAGACGCTTGATGCGAAGCCCTCGCACTACTCTGTCTTGACGGCAAATAGATTCGCGAACAACCAGCCAGCGGCACGTCGTACACATTCAGGTAAATTGGCAGCCTTAGAAGGAGACAGAACTCAGCCGCTCTCTGGATCTCTCGCGGGGTCCCTGTGCTTGATCCGTACTGCAGTTGGACAAGCAAATCCTTGCCTACTGAATCCTGTGCCCCAAATTTTAAACCCTGAACCCTAAACCCCAAACCACAAACCCTAAACCCTAAACGCTAAACCCTAAACCCTAAACCCTAAACCCCCCAAAGTTCCTCACCGTGCTTGCCAGTGGCAGCTCCGGTTCGGTCTGAGTTTCCAGGTCCGCCATGCCTGCAGAAGAGAAGGGCGGAGGAGAAATCTGGGTCGACTTAGGGTTTAGGGTTTGGGTTTAAGGGTTTAGGGTTTAGGGCTTAGGGCTTAGGGCTTAGAAACACGGGCTTAGGGCTTAGGGCTTAGGGCTTAGGGCTTAGGGCTTAGGGCTTAGGGCTTAGGGCTTAGGGCTTAGGGCTTAGGGCTTAGGGTTTAGGAAGTTGAGGGTTGAGGGTTTTGGGTTTAGGACGTTGAGGGTTTAGGGTACGGGGGGACAACCAAGGAAGGAAATCAACTCCCCTAATCGCCCTGAACTTATATTTCCCAGATCGAACCAAGAAACAACCAAGAACACGGATAAGAGCAACCCAGGGGGGAAGGAAAGGGGGAAGGAATCCACACCCTTACCAAACCCTAAGAACCCAGGCACTACTTTTTGAACTTGTGGCTTTCTGTTCAAGCCCATCTTGAGCCAAATAGATTACCGGGTTCATTAACCCTTCCAACTTCCAACACTAACTCCTTTCTACAATACCAATTGCAGCTCCGCACTCCCCCTGTCCTAGGATTTCCTAGGACACATTGGAGATGCAGATCTTTTGGCCAAAAACTGCCATTACGGCAGCAGCCAGCTGCTTGAAATGCAAATTGTGGTTTAACGTCTTCCAGGACGGAATTATAGCACATTGGCTAACCTACTACCCGTAGAGAATCTTTTTTCACCTTGATCCTCTCATCACTGAAGACTCCTTGGCCTTCTCCACCACAAACCGTGGTCTTCGCTTCGCGAAAAGCTACTGACTCCTACTATCAGGGATTTCCATACCCTTAATAGTAACCACCACATTGTCAGCACATTGGCTGTTCCAGCGCACCGGTCTCCAGAAAGAGAAAAACCATCCCTTCATCCATACCATCCAATCACTTCTTTTTCCGATTGTTGGCAATCTTGAGGTGAAGTTGCAGCAGAATATACTCCAGGTCCGAAATCGTAAGAATAGGATCCTGTATGCCCCTTTGAATTGAGGATACCAATCCTTCTCTCTTTGCGTCCTCAATCGCCTGGCAAGATTGACCCAGCTCTTCATTCGCATTGGCAGACCCTGGTGCCTCCGCATCGGATGGACGATCCTTTTCCTCAGGATCTTGCACCATTACCACCTCTTCTTTTTTGGGACTCTGACTTTTCTCCTTCTTCTTTGTCTTTCCACCGACATTTGACTTTGTGCGCGTCTTCGAGGATTTTTCCACTGCAGAAGCCACCACATTGGATGTTGATCCACCCTTCTCAATGATCGTCGGCATCTTCTTCGGCTTTGGAACCATGAGAGTGTAAGGATCTTCGATAGCTGCAGCTTTCCTCTTCTTTTTTACCTTTTTCTTCTCCTCTCAACGGCAACCTCCGTCTCCGAAGTCTCAACCACTTCTTTTTCGGCAGGAATATCTTTGCTGGACTCCCCTTCTAGGGACCTCTTTTTCCCTTTTTTGGGATCCTTTTCTTCTCCCAAATTGGCTCGCTCATACCATATCCTCAGGTCATTGACCCATTCTTCCACCTCCGCGAGCGAAACATCATACGACTTCACTACTTCGAGAAGTTCCAGCACTGACAACATTTCAGTGGTCCACGAAACCCATACTTGATCCATTTGGTCAGCATCTCCAGTGAACTTCAGGAGTTTGAACAATGGGTCCGCCTCTGCTCGAGCCAAATCTGGCTTGCCACCGGAGAGAAATGAAATCGCCTCCATCAACAGTTCCGTCATCTTGGTCTCTTCGTCATAAACCATAAAATCCTCCTCATCATCATCGAACTGTTCAGGAGGGATCTCCTTTTCTCCACCATTTGCACCAGACTTTCTCCTTGGACCATCCCTTAGGGGCGTCCTTGGAGACCTTGGCCTCTGTTTTTCCAACGGAACACCATGCTCGAAGACACACCTGTCACCAAATCGACACTTCCCAGACCGAGCAAACTGGACGCACCTCACACCAGTTGCATCATGCGAGAACCCACAATCCTTTCCAGCGAAACATTCTCTCCCTGCCACATAGTACTTGCACCAATATGAATGTAGCACCACATCATCTTCGGAATGGATGAATTTGCAGTCGTCACCAAATTTGCAGCGATCTTTCCCTTTGCCAAACCAATAGCAGAAACCCTTCTTCCTCTTCTCCAAGCGCTCTGCCTCATACCGGTCCATAGGGCGACTGTGCTCTACATGAACATTGCCATGTACCTGGGGACTGCTCCCTTCACCCGACGTGCTATCAGTATTTGGTGCTTGGAGTACAGCTGGAAAACCTGGCCTTGGTCCTACCACCTTCATGATCGGTTTTCCGCCAACTCCTGAGCCATGCTGAGACGATCCAAAAACATTGAACATCTTCATGAAGGCCTTCCTAGCGCCAATCTTCTGCACCCTTTTGATTGGACGTTTCATTGCTCCAACCTTGCATCCAGATGCATTCAAACGACGCAACCTTCTAAACCCAACTCTATGTCCCTTCTTCCAAAGAGCCATAAGAATTTTAGAGGCAGTGACATTCTCCACCTCTACCTTTTCCAATGATCCCTCACTTCCCGGAACAAACCCATCCATCTCTGAAGACCTTTCCATCTTTTTTGACACCACTTCGTCGAGGTAGTCTTCTGAAATCCAGGGAAAGTTCCCCTTAGAGGAAGGATTGTCATCATTGTTTGGTCCTTCACCAGGATATCCTTTGGTGCTGTCAAAGATCTTACCAGTAGTGCGGTCCTGCATAGAGAAATTCGAAGCCACGCGGGAGTACACTGACCACAAGAAAATCCTTGTGTCCGCCAGTCTGGATGACCCACTGGATTTCTCCTCTTCCGGAGAAACTTCTGGCGCTTTGCCCTTCCCTCCAGTGTCACCGCTTGTCTCACCTCCAGCATCTTCAATGGGAATAAGGGATTCATTGTTCCCTTGATCAA